CAGAAGAAGCATATTATTGGCCTCGCATAAAGGATGAAGTTGAGGCCTACATGAAGACTTGTCTTGTATGCCAACAAGACAAGACGGAGCAGAGAGCGCCGACCGGACTGCTAGAGCCATTACCTATTCCGAAGCGACCTTGAAAAAGTATTTCCATGGACTTCATCATGGGTCTACCCAAGTCAGATGGATGCAACATTATTATGATGGTGGTTGACCAATTTTTCAAATACAGAATTTTCATTTTAGCCCCAGCTAATCCATTCGAGATAGTGACACCACTATTTCTGAAGCACATGGTGAAGTATTAAGGGCTACAAAAGTCCATTGTAAGTGATCGGGATGGCCGCTTCACAGGAAGGTTCCGGACGGAGCTCTTTAAGCTCATATGGATAGATCTTAACTTCTCCACTAGCTTCCACCTTTAAAAAGATGGCCAGACGGAGCGGGTAAACGGCTTGTTGGAGGTATACTTGAGACACTATGTGAGTGCCAACCAGCAAGATTGGACAAAGCTACCGGACATAGCCCAATTCTCCTACAATTTGCAAATGAGTGAGTCCACCGGGAGGAGCCCATTTGAGATCGTCACAGGTCAGCAACCACTCACTCCAAATGCCATTGCTATAGGTTATAAAGGAAATAGCCCAGCTGTGTACAGATTTTCCAAGGGGTGGCAAGATCAGAACGAATTGGCACGCTCGTGCTTGAACAAAGCGGCAAAGAAGATGAAAAAATGGCCTGACAAGAAGCGAAGACATATGGAGTATCAAGTTGGAGACTTGGTCCTTGTCAGGCTTTCCATGTTGGATCGACATAAAGAGCTACACAAGAGTTTGATACGCAAGTATCAAGTTAATTTTTCCATAAGTTTTAATTTTTCCATAAATTTATATGTATTGTTTAGTTAATGTTGTATATCTAGAAGAAATATATAATTATGGTCTAGGAAAATATCTGGAAAAAAATATAATTATGTATTGTTTAGTTAATTTTTCCATAAATTTATATGTATTGTTTATATGATGAATTTTAATGCTTCAGTTAAAATGGCGAATGGAGTACCGATTATTTGCTTATTCAATGGAAAACTGAGCGTTGGAATGAATAATATGCCTATATACGATGGAGGCTCTAGGAAAATGTTCATGTTGTCCAGAAATTGCGACTTGATAGATTGATGGCACAAATATACAGAGTTACTGGAATTAATCACATCGAAAATTCCATTAAGGTCTTCTGTAATTGTCCAATAAATGATCAAAGAATAATTGCTGTAGAGATCACCAATGATGAAGAATTGAATAACATGATACAACTTGCGGAAAAACAAATATCAATCGAGTTGTTTATTGAAAATATTCCAATGTCTGTGGTTGCTGAAGTTTCATATGTTCGTGGAGAGTTCTCCCGCATGCTTGATAATCAAATATCGTTATCTCAAAGTACCATGCGCTTAAAAAATGAGTCGGGTGTAATGTCAAATGACGTGTTCCACAACTCGCCGGGTCATGTTTCAGTTGATTTACCGGGGGGGTTCTACAATAGTAGAGGTTAATGATGAGGATGTAGATGCCGATGACGATACTGAAGATGCTGAAGAGGATGAACGTCTTGATAGTATGCAGTATACAATTGGAGAGACCAATGATGACGTAAGTTGTATGGATGAATATTGTGTAAATAACGACTATGTAGAGTCTGAAGAGCCGTTGCCAGAAGAGTTTCAAAATGATGAGTGGATAAATGCCTCACAAGCTGAGTTCGTCGATCCTGACCCTAATTTCGATCGACCCGAGGACTTTACTTTCAAGAAAGGAGATCTTTTCGAGAACAAGGAAACATTAATTTTCGCTATACGTGAATGAGCAATCAAAAACCGGGTCAAATTTAAGACGGTGAAAAGCAACACAACTAGGTATCATGTAAAGTGTTACTTTAATGAGAAAGGTCAAGGAGAGAATACAAGTGCTGCAGATGATAGAAATTCAAAGTGTCCATGGAAGCTTAATGCAGCTATTAGGAAAAAATCACTTGGCCAATTTATGATCCCTAGTTATTGCGGACTCCATACATGTTCTAATTCGACCGCAACTTATGATCATAAGACTTTGACTTCCTCTTATATCACAAAGCTAATTATGCCCGAAGTTAGGCGGGAACTTGATCTTACTCCAGGACAAATAATTACAAGGGTATATGATATGAAAAGAATAACAATATCCAAGTTTAAAGCATATGATGCACGGAGGAAGGCGTTGACTAAAATCTTTGGAGATTGGGAGGAATCTTACCAATTACTTCCGCATTACCTTTCAGCAATTATGAGGAAAAATCCGGGTACCGAATATGACATAGTGTCTAAGGAGGTCGCGCTAGAAATGGAGAGGTTCATACGTGTTTTTTGGGCATTTGGGCCCGCTATCAGAGGGTTCTCTTTTTGTCGTCCGCTCTTAAGTATCGATGGAACACATTTATATGGCAAGTACAAAGGAGTGCTCTTGGTTGCGACCGGTGTAGATGCAAACGGTGGGCTATTTCCTGTAGCTTTTGCAGTTGTGGAGGTGGAGGATACATCGAGTTGGAAGTGGTTTTTTCAATGTATTTACAAACATATTCCGACTGTTCAAAGTCCACGAGTTATTACCTTTATTTCTGACCGGATGAAAGGAATTCCACGAGCCTTGCACGAGGGGTGGAGTGCACCACATCATCACCGAGAAGTTGATTACATTAAATGGTATTGGGGGATTACCAGACGTTGGATAATCACTCAAACTACGCCTCCAGTCGACGAAATCGAGATTCGCTCCCAACAATCCCGATATGTACCAAGAGGGGTAGATGAGAGACGATGGGTAAGTTAAATTGTCAAAATTATCATAGAATGTCAATCTCTTCTTAGCTTATGGTTTCTAATATCAATATTTTTATGTAATTGTAGATAGATGCTATGGACGAGGTCGAGGGGATTGCAAATGAGGGCATAGCTACCGCCACAGGAGATTTAGTACATGTATCGATATTGCATCGGATAGTGGCGAGAGTTCGTAGAGCTTTTCAACAAACTTATGAGGATGACATGAAGGTCGTGAGCAGGTGGATCTTGACGATACTCTATATGTACGCCGACGTAGACGCGGTAGACCTTGCATGCACAACGATGAAGCCGGTCCGTCACAGCAAGCCAGTCCATCACAGCCCCACACACAACCGGAGAGCGAGCATATTCAAGCTCAAGTCGAAGGAGGACGCCGACGATCTCAACGAGTGCGAAGAGAGAGACAACGGGGGAGAGGTGGATTTTTTATTTGTTAGTTTTTCCACTAAGATATATATTGTCGTATGGATTTATTGACCTTGAATTTGTTTATCTTAAACTACATATTATCGTATGGGTCGACTTGAGACATTTGGATTTGTTTAGCTTAGACTGATATATATTATCGTATGGATTTGTGATGTGTATTTTTGTCGGCTTTTGGATGTGATGTGTATTCCGTCGGATTTGTGTTGTGATGTTGTTGATTACGTCGGATTTGTGTGGTGATGTACTCTATGATGAGATTTGTGTTGTGATATTGTAAATGATATCTTTTTGGCGAAAATTTTGGTTGTAATCGATAAATGAGGCCCATGCATGTTTGGTGCATATTGCCCCTCTGCCCAGCAAATCCACGGGACTAGTAGTCCCGTGGATTTGCTGGGCAGAGGTTAAGTCGCTCTACAAAACGTACGGGACTAGTAGTCCCGTACGTTTTGCTAGACAACATAAAATATACGAGACTAGTAGTCCCGTATATTTTCTGAGTGCGATTAGTTAGCTTTAAACATACAGGACTACTAGTCCCGTATGTTTTCTGAACCCACTTTTTCAAAATCGACATCTTTTTGGCCTATTGGCCAAAAAGAGATCTATTTTGATAATTTTTTACCAAAGTGGTCTATTTCGTTAGATATTTCATAAAAACGGTCTATTTTGTAAAATTTCCCATTAAAAAGGCATAAGAAGATATGAAGAGGAGCATCCATGTTTAATTGAGTTATGACCGATTTGAAATTTTGGATCCTCTTCTTCGCCAAAAAAGTAGTAAAGAGACACTTCATTTATCATATGCGTTAATATCTCCGGTAGATGCTTATGACTCATTCCAAACCTAACGCTCATCATACCCCCATCCTAATTTAGACCGAAATACAAATCACAATCATATACTAAATAAATTGATAAGTATGATAAAAGAAGTGGCCTCTCAATTGCCTGCTGATGATGACAGTGGAGAGGATCCGTGTTCAGTATGCCTTGGTCATCTACGCTATATACATGTGGCCCAATGCAAATTTCTACTCTGTTCTCCTCTCCGTCTCTTTTATTCTCATCTTCCTACTTGAGTTAAGACCTAATTTTTGTTCTCAATAAAACTTACGCCCGTCCTTTTCCCGAGAAATACATTTTATTTCCCTCAATATATACAAGTGGCATTTGTAAAAAGAAATGAGAAGAAAAGGAAAGAAACAAGTATCTTCCCCTCCGAAATTCTCAGCCATAAATCTCCTCTTGTCCCACTCCAGCATCTCCGGGAATCACGTGATTTTATGCCCTCCAATCATTTCGCCCGAAAAAAAAAATAACAAAAAAAAAAAAATATATCCTATAGAATATCCTCAATAGACAACCATACATGAAAGAATCATAATGTATATAACCAATTTACTTATTCTACTGATGGCCGGAGTAGTTAATTTGTACTGATATTTTAATTGTTTATACTAATTTTACTGATGGACTAAATCTGCATATCGAGTTTAATGATTTAAAATAGATTTTAAGGTCCTCATTTTTAAGTACAATTCCTATCAGAACACAGTATAGCGGGACATAATATAGTGAGGGTGATCTATTCCATTCAGGAATGACAATGAAGTACCGATATTGTCCTCCTGTACGTTTTATATTTATACAGCTCAGAACGCCCCCGCACTGTGCCGAGCGTCTTGATAGGATCCGTACTCCTCACTCTCAGCTTACGGTCAGCTTTGCACTCAAACTATCACCCATTTCATTTTTTTTCTAATTTATTCCCGACATAAGTTATCAACTCATCATGCTCTCTTATACATATAGCACGTATATCCACAAATGTCCATGAAATGTCTTAATATACTAATATCTTGTTGTAGCCTCGTTAACCACTCCTCGTCACAATCACCAGAAATCATCCGCACCCACCCAAGATTTTGGGCTCCAGGATAAGGATTTTTATGCTCTTACTGGTGTCCTAGTTTGCAACGATGAGCGATTAGTCCCATATATTTTTATTTTTATTTTTGCCTTTTGTGCTGTTTCTTAGTCATTGGTTACCTCTAGATTTCTCTAGTGTAGTATATAGTCTTGGGGGTTAAATTGGTTGGTCTTTTTGAGGTTGATTTGTTGTTAGTTATGGAGAAGACAGTGTTTGATGTGAGATCAGAGGTTAGCTCGTTGAAGATGATGGATTCCAAGTCCTTAAAATGGCGAGAAGGCGGCCGAAGATTCTCAAGACAATACTTGAGATTCTACCAAGGAGGAGGAGGGGGAGGGGGAGGAGGAGGAGGTGATTGTTATTATTATTATTATTATTATTTTGTTTATTTATTGTTGTATTATCAAAGTTCAATTGCATTTCCATCAAACTTATAAAATGTTTTATTTGATGTTTAGGTCTCTCTATTAAGTCTTCATATCCAACTGCAAGAACTTCAAGCGAAGGAATTGATTTGGTGTCTCCCCAAAAGTTATCACAAAGTGAGATTTCAAGGATAAATGGCAACAATTGTGCAGTTTCTTCTTCTAGTTCCTATAGGGAAGGATTCATACTTGATGCATTTGAAGATGAGTATGGGGGGGTTATCGTCAATCCCGAAAGATTACCGCATAATGCGAATGTTTTTTCGTCGGTTCTTCAGACATCTCTTTCTCATTGGAAACTCAAGGTAGTGATAATTTAGTCTGTAGTATGTGTTCTTGAGTATGAATTTTTGAGTCTCGTCTTGTGAATGTCTGTATAGGGTAGGAAAGGAGTATGGCTCAAGTTGCCAGTGGAGCGTTCTGAACTTGTTCCTGTTGCAATTAAGGTAATAAAGAGGAGTATTTTTTTATTATATTTTAAAATGCTATTTTTCTTATGAAGAACTTTACAATTTCTAATGGTGAAATTCCTCTCATGAATCTTATCATTGTATGATCCTCTGACATATGATACAAGGTGATTTAATTGCAGATAGAGTACCCATTGTACTTTTTGCTTTGCCCAAGAGCAGATAGATCCTAGAGTGATTTTTTTATTTAAATTTACTCTTTAAAGAATCAATAAAGTTCACCCAGGGGTATGTCCGCACCAATAGAACTACAGGGTTTGTCTGCAATTGGGCTATAGTAGCGGTGGTATATCCGCAATTAACCCTATATAGATATATGCTTATGTCAAAATTTTCAGTCATATTTTGGGGGTTATCGAGTTTTATTTTCTTGAGGTGCATAATGCATTAATATTTTACCTCTATTTATAAAGGAAGGATTCAATTATCACCACGCTGAGCAATCATATGTAATGCTTACCTATTGGATCCCTGATGGACCGTGCTCGCTTCCTGCTAATGCTTCTCATCAAGTGGGAGTCGGAGGTTTTGTGATCAATGAAAAAGATGAGGTTTGCTTTTTCTCCTTCTTTGTTTTTTGGGATATTTTGCTTTCATATTGGTGTTTATTTTCCTTAATAAATCCAATATTTTGTCAGGATCACAGTCTACATAATGTTGTGCAATGTCTTCGCAAGTTGATATAATTGAAAATGCGAGTGTATTTCTGTCTGGCTTTTGGGAAATAAGAACAACTCTTCATAGAAGATTCATTATCTTGGTCCCTTTTAGTCTGTTTCCTGTGGAAAAGAAATGGAAGGTTTCAATAACGTTCTAGTCTTTTCAGATCCGAAAAGGATCGGATTATCATATTTTTAACACTTTGATACCCTAAAGTTTCAATCTCATTTCACTTTGAAACTCCTGTCAAGTTTTAATTAGATTTCTTGTTAAATTTATATCATGTGCTTGGCACGTGATACCTTCATCCACTACTTGTGGAAACCTTAGTAACAGGGTAAAATGGACCTAAATATAATACAAATATTACCAGAAAATTTAATAAAATCCGGGCAGGGATATCAAAGTGAAATGGAAGAGAAACTTTGGTGTATCAAGGTGCTAAAGAAATACATTGGGGTATGAAAGTGAAGAATTGGGTAAACTTTGGGGTACCAAAGGGAAAAATAAACTGTTTGTATGATAAATTTCAGGTCCTAATTGACCAATTATTTGCATCTAGTTAACTTAATTAGATCTGCCTCTAGACATATTGTTTTCAAATGATCTAGTCAGATTATTTTAACTACCTTGAAGGAGTATAATAAACTGATCAATATTACATTACATTAAATTTATTTTGTGGTGAAATGCTTGTCCTTATTTATATATCAATGACTAGTTTAATCTTCTGGATGGGGGGAAAAAATTCAGGTCCTTGTCGTGCAAGAGAAGCACTGTGCATTAGGTGGTGTCTGGAAAATTCCTACAGGCTTCATCAATGAGGTACACATTCCAGTAACCTACATTCTCCAAAATAAAAATTGCAATAATTTAGGAAAAAAGAGGAATAAATTGGAAAATTTATTTTTCAGCAACATGTCGTTTATTTCTTTATTTTTTCGGTCTGTCAGTCTGAGGAGATCTTTGCTGGAGCAGTAAGAGAGGTGAAGGAGGAAACTGGTGTACGTAAAAAAACACATTGTTTTGTCTATTTTTTCATAACAAGTTGGCATTTATTTTTCTTTAAAGTATAACAATTGAAATATTAGTATAATTTTCTTGATGATTGGAAGAGTGTTTTGCTGTGTGTTTACTCTATTTCTAATTTATTTTGCAGATTGACACAGAATTCCTGGAAGTGATTGCTTTTAGGTAACTTCTCATTTCTTAATAAAAGAAAATTTATGAGACACTTTTGAATTAATGCATAAATTGGACTCCTGGAAAAACATTTAAATCATAAAAATTTAATAGTTTGCTTAGAAGGGATCACTCTAAAGGTACACTAGTTTGCAACCTAGCTTCAAATTTATTTATCCTATTAGTTTTACCGGATCAAGCATCAAGAATAACGTCGATAGGAGTATTATTTACGTACTTTCTTTGCATTAATGTTTTTATGAATTTAATTAAATAATTTATTTAATTTTCCTGGCATTTGAAAAATCCGATTTATTCTTCATCTGCATGCTTCGCCCATTATCAACACAGATTATTATCGATGAGCTGGAAATTCAAGCAGCAAAGGTATTGTATAGGATAGTTACAAAATTCTTATGGATGCAGGATTGGAATTGTCAAATAGAAGTCGGTTTCCTTTAGTTATTACCTGTTGTTTCTTTAAACCTGAATACTGAGTTCGATCCTTATTGTAGGCTAATCATTGTTTAGTTTCGTAGCTTCTTCTGTTTATTTACAATTACTATCTGAAATATTCTTGCCTATTGACTGCATCCTAGATCATCTCAGTTGATAATTGCTTACGATCCTGAAAGAGGCATGCAGGTTTTTCTTTCTGAAATGGAAGAAAAGTTTAATTTGATTCCATCGCGATGATAGTTTGATGAAAAATTACACCTGTAAGAGTTCATGTTTAAATTTGAGTAAACATACATTGCAAAGTGGCAAGAGCAACATCATGCTTTTGACAGAGATTTAAACACTTTAAATAACGTCAAAAACACACTTCCATCCATCACTAATTATTTTCTCAATACTTTCCTCAATTTTCATGGTACAACACGCACATCCTAAATTTATGAATCAAAATTTTTTTTTCTCCAGTGGATGCCCCTCGTCGAATTCTTGGAGCAGCCCTTCGTCCAAGGCGATTGCATGATCAAGAAGATCATCGACATTTGCATTGCACGACTTGGCAAGCGTTACTGTGGATTAGCTGCCCACAAAGTGATATCGAAATTTGATGGTAGATCTTCTTCTCTGTACTATAATGTGGCTCAGCCTCAGGATTCCTACTGCCAGTCTCAGGAGTAACACTGGAGCTCCTACTCCGTTCATGTCAAATCATATCATCTTTTGTTATGTATGTATGTATATAAATAGTGTAAGGTGCTTTCTCATGTACAAAAGAAATGAATCAGGCTTATTTTCCAAAATCTGCCTGAAACTTCTGTAATAAAAATAAAATAATTCAATTTTTATCATGAGATTTCACACTCCGTAGATAAAATTTTCTGGTGAGATGTTCATGTTAGCAAAAGACTAGAACAATATTGCAGATCGATGAAAGAAAGAAACGAAAACAAAGAGGAAACAATCACAGTAACAAAGGGATTTGATGAGATTCAATCATTAACGTGATTACCGGCCTACACCCTTGGAGTATAAGCAGGTCAAAAATATTCCACTACTGATCAACGTGGTTTACAACCAATATGCAATTATCAAATTATCTTAACTGTATACATATTCTATGGGCTATAAAGATTGTTTTTTGATTATGTTCTATATAATTTATACATAAACGCATCAACGAGAGCATCTGATAAAATAGTAAATCAGGTCAAAGTTTCTCATCAATATACAAATCCAACAAGCAAACAGGGTAGCTTGAGCAAAAACTTGAAGATATGGATCCTGGCTTGAGAGCATTACGATCAAATAATCTTGTTCATATGGGCATTTTAGCTTGTCATGACCCTGATTTGGATCATTACTCGATTAATAAATATCGACGTACTCTGCTATTCAAGAGCAGTCAATATCTAACACAAATTGGCTAATAATTCTAGAGGCAAGCCCATAAGCATGACATACTCTCAGGCTGTGTTGTGCAGCTCCAAAGAGCTAGTCTTAGCGGATACAAGTTCACTTCAAAAGCTAGTTTTTAGTATGGCAAGATTTGACTTAGATTTGAACCGCATTTTAGTTCAGATTCAGGGCATTAAACTAGTTACTTTTTCTTATTTATCAGAATAGAAAAAAAAATAAACCAGAGTCGAAATTTAGGTACGAAACCAAAGTTCTCCTCATCAGTATATGAATCCAACAAGCAGGCACATGCTCGATGACTGCATACATAATACATGATGGCTTGATGAAAACTTGGAAGACGCATTTATCATCATTAGATCTTTTGAGAGTGCATTGCTTTGGCTGCAGCAACCGCAAGCATTGTGCAAAAAGGCACGAAAATAACATCAGGCACCGCTTTCTTGAGGATCAAGGCCGCTGTGGGTGCTACCAAACCTGTCCACATCACCGCGTTGTTGTGTGTTTGATTGATGCTGATGTTTCTCTCCAAGAAATGGATGACTAGATATTTCTTCTCTTCTGCATCCTCGCCATAATTTTCCAAGTTTTGATAAAACTCCTACATTTTCGACAACGCAACATCCGTAAGTAAGTAAAGCGAAAAATATAGCTGTTTACATGGTTCTGAAATAATTAAGTGGTAGAAGAAATTTTCAAAATCGCCTCAATATTTTTTTTAAAAAAAAAAATAGGCCCCATTCACTTTTAATTATAGAAATCGACTTATTTTGAGTTAATTACGGTACTAATTAGTCGGGGCTGTACATACGCGCCCTTAAATCACGGGTATATACAAAACTACCCCTTAAATCATCAATTTTGGAAAAAAAAATGCCCCCCAATCCATCAATCATCAATTTTAATAGGCCTAGTTGCAACTGCAATATCAAAATTATCAACAAATTAGTATAATTTATACTCATCAAGTCGGTGATTTGCTGATTTTAGGGGTATGGTATATTTTGCCAAAGTTGATGATTTGAGGGGTAGTTTTGCAATACTAAGATTTGGAGCATAGTTCTGCAAATGCCCATGATTTAAGGGGTATATACGCAAATACACATAAATTTTACAAACTTAACAACTGAGTATGAATTGGAAAAGTTATACCAACTTACCATTATGCTTTCAAGTGGCGGAACACTATAACGCCTTCCAGGCAAGGCTGCATTGAACTTGCTAGAAATCAAATTAAAAGGAAAATTCACAACATAATTAATTGTGTGCATCCTTGAAAATTTAAGATGAAACAAAATAATTTCATACTTTATTAAATTAAGGAAAGACGCATGGAACTCTTCAAATGTACAAACTTCAGGACCAAAAAAATTGTTGAAGATTTCATCGGAGGAACACGTTTGCTTTCCTTTGACACCTAAAAGAAATATCATATAATTAGACATACAAACAAAAATTACACTCACAAAGAAGCAACGAAGTACTTTTTCCTATCAAAATCGCATTTGTAAATTCAAACCCCACAAACAGTTGCATAACAGTAGTGAATATATTCAAGAAATACCCTCCAAATGAAATAAATGAATCAACAGAACAACTGCTGATATTTCTTAAAAAAAAAAAAGATGTTAAATATGACTATCAGCAAATAAATTTAAGCTTTAAGGAAATCAGAGGGTACCTAATCTTCTCATAGAGCTCACATGCATTCCCATTTTGGACCTAAGAATGCGAGAAAGAGAAACGTGTCATCTATCTTCCCCTTCTTTGCCATTCTTTTTGTACTCTTTTTTATTCTTGAAGTGCAATAGAGGCAAAGTTAAGCTTAAAAGATACAATGCTAGGCTGTGCTCTCCATAGAAAATCACATAAATATACGGAGTAAGGATCGCATGGCATATGTTTGAGCATGTTAGAGTATAAAATTACACGCACGAATCATCGCGAATAACTTTCGGGTTTTGCTGCAAAGAAATTGAGTTTTACATGGTATCAGATTAACACGGGTTCATATCTCATTGACACCTATTTAGTGCGGGTTTATAAAAAAATACCAATACGCCGAGTCAAGATTTCGGATGACAAAAATGATGTTCAACTTATAAGAGAAATGTAAGACAGTGCAATTGTAAGCCTTCGAAAGTGTTGGAGTGTAGGAGACCTTTAATACTGATACTCTTTGATATACTTAAATTTTTTTTATTCTACTGGTATTTTAACTGTTTACACTCTTAGCTCGGCTGAGGCGATGGCCCGAAGAGGCCCATATCGAAGCCGGCCTTTCCCATTACAAAGCTACAAAATTAAAGCACGCCATTAATGCGCGAAAGAGCCGCAGTTTCCGACTGTCCGATGGCTCAAATGGCGGCGAGCTCAGCCACGGCGGCCGAACGGCCAAGCGATCTCCTGCCTCCTCCACCCCATCCTTCATTACTCCCGACAGAAACCCTCTCTCTTCACTCAACACCCCTCAACCCTAAACCTAAGGGTCCCCAACACCCCCTCTCCTTCCCTGCAAAAAGCCTGAGCCCTCACCCTCCCCAAACCCCTTCGCGCCCGCCGCGCCGGCCGCCTCCTCCTCCGTCGGCGAGGCGCGCCCTCTCTTCCACGGCCCCTGGCTACCGTCCTCTCCTCACAACAGTCGACACCGACGCAAATCATTCCCGCGAGCCCACCTAACCCTGGTCCCCTCGAAGCCGACGAGTATCGGCAAGCTCTTGGAGTCCTAGCTCCTAAGTACGGCCTCCCCTCGCGAACGTTACCCAATCCCCTTCGTCGAGCCCGGTCGACTCCACCAGATACCCGATCATCGTCGCCGCGCCAATTTCGCTGCGGACGTCCGCGAGCACGCGCCGGTTAGCCCTAGGCCGCCGGCGGTGAGGGTTGTGTGGCGGAGTCTTATGCGAGGATATTCTTTAGGAATTCAGTGGCGACGGGGGAAATTTATCCGGTGGAGGCCGAGGGGGTCGGGATTTGGGAGGAGTGCAAGACTGGGGATGTTTTGACGGTGGATCTCGGGGAGAGTAAGATGACTAATCATAGTACGGGGAAGGAGTATGCGTTGAAGGCGATCGGGGATGCTGGGCCTGTGGTTGAGGCTGGCGGGATCTTGATCTTTGCCTTCGCGAGGAAGGCCAGGATGATTGCTTCGACTGTGGCGGAGTAGATAGTGGTATTGGATTTCATCCTGTTTATTGAATTTCTATAATGTTGTAGGAGAATGTAGTTTGAAAACGATCTTGATATAATGTTTGCTTATGAATACATGACATGTTTAATAGCAGGAAAGATGGATATTATTTCCCCAACAAAAAAGAAAAAGATACCAAAATAGCAGTCACTTGTAGCATTCCTGTTACTAGTGGCGGCTGTTTTATTATACAATAATAATAGATAGTAGAGTTAGTTAAAGAGTGAATATTTATCCTATTGTTCGTCAAGAGATTGAACTTTTGACTAGGTAATCATACAATTAGGAGTTTTCTTTTTATAACGTGTTTGATCGCGAAAGCTTATTAATTATAATTTGTGATGGGGCTGATGTACAACTAGGAGTTTTCTTTTTATAATGTGTTTGATCAGGAAAGCTTATTAATTATAGTTTGCGATGGGGTTAATGTTTGGGGGTATTTGTGTAATCTAAATGGGTCAATTGTTATTGGTGGACATTCATTACGGAAGGAAATAAGACCATGCTAGTTCTTAACATGCGAATTTCAAAGGTGCATTCTGTTGATTGGAAATAGGAACTTTCAAACTTTACAAATTCCTGTCCCTAATAAAGGGTGCTTTTAAAGAATCATGAGATGATCTACAGTTCGAAGGTTCTTAACATGTGTAAGAAAAAAATTCAAATAATTCCTCCCCCAGAGAAAAGCTTTTAAGCTCTGCACTACTTAAATCTTATGAGTCATGATTCATTCCTCATTTATTAAAGAAGTCGTGTTGTGGAATTTGGGTATTGTCTTGCATGATTGCATCTCGATTTTCCTAACCGTTATTTAAGAGAAGAGTCAAATATTAGCTGATATCTACAGGATGACATTTGAAAATTCATTTTATTATTATTCAAAGAAGAGTCATAAGATTGTCTTGCATCTCGATTTTCCTAACCGTTTTTTAAGAGAAGAGTCAAATATTAGCTGATATCTACAGGATGACATTTGAAAATTAATTTTATTATTATTCAAAGAAGAGTCATAAGATTGTTGTTTGTTGTAATTGGATTCATGGTGAAGCAGCAAATTGACTTACTGAAACTATTGGACGATGTATAATGAACATGATGGGACTAGTGTTTTAGTAATTATTAACTCTTAACTTTGTCTAGTCTCTATTAGATGAATGTTTATTTCCACTTAACAAAAGGAAATTAATAGAGCATGGAAAAGAAGACTTTCAGTTTGGTGACTCTTTTACGGAGATAATTACTTTTGGAAAATAATGTAATTGATAACAATCGTTCTTCTTAAACTACTACTGCATCCTTATACTGTAATAAATAGCAATCCCAATAAAAGTTGCTTCAAAACAAAACTAAGAACATATAATATTTTTGCATTAAATAACTGACAAACCAAAGTAACCTCTAGAAACACATCTATAAATTTACCATTTTTGTAGTATTAACAAAGAAATGATAGCAAACCTTTTAGATATTCCATATCTTTTTAACACATCTTTATCGTTCCATATCCTTATCGACCTTTACATTTAGACAATATTTTTTTCCTCATCTATATCATACATGTTCCTAGATTTTCAACATCTATCATGTCATATTTTCATATTGTTATATTGTTATATAATCAAATTCAATGTGTATAAAACTGGTTGATAGAACTTATAATAAACTCATGTAGTCTATTAAACACATTCGAAAATAGAAGGATGGGTCTCGTGGTATCATTCACACACAATTTTTTTTTAGGAAACATTATTTTTTACTAGTCTAGCATTTTGGTCTACAAAGCATTTTTGCTCTATGAAGCATTTTACTTTTACAGTTATCGTGTAGCATTCTGATCTATGATGTACTGGGAGAATTTTAAGGGGGTTCCAATAGATGGTCGGGTTTTTCTTAGCATTTTTGTTCTATGAAGCATTTTACTCTTACAGTTTCATGTAGCACTCTAATCTATGATGTACTGGGAAATTTTTGAGGGAGTTCCAATGGAAGGTCTGTTGGGTTTTTCTTAGCTCTTATCTTCTTACAGAGAACCCTTCTCTTTGTATAGAGGTAATGTACCATTATCTCTACCCTTCAAAATTGCATCAGAAGTTCTAAAGAGATGCTCTCTTTAAAAACCCCCACAATCAAATATTATCTCAACAAAAAATCATATTGTTGAGATAATTGTGGTTGCTTTGGTGACATTATTGACCGGATCAATCTAACACCTCCCACTTGACGAAATTAACTTACTGATGGGTCTCTCACTATCTGTGAGATTAGCTGTTATTTCTAGTATTAAGAAATAGAGGTGTTGCAAGATACACAGAAAGCAGAATATGTATTTCCAGTACGACAACTACAGATGATGTCTAGATAAGAAGGTTTTTTATTGATCTAGATCCCATCTGTATTGTGATAATCTGGTGACAATTAACCTAATCAACAGTGGAGCAAACAATTCTAAAGGAAAAGACATTGAGATTCAGTTTCAGTATACTCGAGATATTGTAGATAAGGAAGTTAAATTGACTTACATCCGTATTGCAAATATTATTGTTGATCCTTCAACAAAGGAAATACCGGCGAACTTTTATATCAAACATGTAAATTTGATGAGACTTGGGAATAAATTAAGTCAGTGAATTTCTTGAATAATGAAATAAGAATTCCTCTGCATGGATAGAGGGAGTAAGAGACATTTGATCTCACGAAGAGTGGGAGGTACATTACTTGATTAATTTGGTCAAGTCAGAAATGTTAGATTGACCTAGTCTTTCACAACAATTATCTCAATGATATGATTTTTTGTTAAGATAATATATTATTGTGGGGTTGTTACAGAGAATCTCTCTTCAGTATTTCTTTAGTATTTTTGAGGTAGTTTTGAGGGGGGGGAGATAGTGGGTGTGTTGTGCCCCTATATAAAGAGAGGGGTCTTTTGGAAAAAATACAACCAAGAAAAAGCCAATAGACCTTTTATTGGACCCTCTTTAAAAATTTCCAATCTTTCCTTTTACACATTTGTCCTAGAGTTGTCTTATAAAATTGGGTGTTGACAGTTGAGAGGTGTTCACTTTTATTCCTGTAAGAAGTGCTCTTATTGATTCCAAATTTTGTTTGCATTTCTTCCAACTCTTATTTAAGTTATAAGCATCTCATCAGGGGCTATTAGAGATGGGAGTATAAGAAAGGTTTTCTACGGAAGTCATATAATGCATGTTGTTTGTCTCTTTTGACTTGGTGTGACTTGTCAATTCTAGTGATGTTGGGAGTGGTGGCAGCTTTGAGCAGAGTATGAAGCCAATCAGAATATGAGAAGATAACCAGCTATTTTGATTGTAGAAAGTTGCACCATTTAAAAAGCTACCGGGTATAAATAAGGGGTTTTGGATTATGTGAGGAAGACGATAGCTCGTGACACAAATAATAGCAATGAATCTAGTCATGCTGCATTAAAAGATGGAACATTGTTCCTTCACTTGGAAGTATTGATAGTGGAGTAACCTACCTAGAACATAATTTGCCCGATAAATTCATAATATGCATGCAATAGAACTTAGATGGTTTGTGATGCACAAAATACCTGCATTGGAATTCTTTGATATAATTTGTGTGGTAGATGGCTTCTACTAATTTGTCTTGAGTTAGGGGTTGTTGGATTGTAATTGTGAAATTTGAAAATTATTGTCACACTATGAAAGTGGTTATCCACATCGCTGCTTTCCTTTGGAGGTTTTCCTTTGCTTGGCTGAGGGGTGAAGAAAGGTTGAGGAGAAAGAGGATACACAAAAAAAAAAAAAAAAAAAAATTAAAAAAAAAAAAAAAAAAAAAAAAAAATCTTGAAGTTAGTTGTATGCTCAAAATTTCAATAGATTTTTTTAGCAGACATTCAGCAGACAAATTTTCAAAACAGTCATCTTTGGACTTTTATTCTAAAAAAAAGACCCATTTTGAACTTATTTTCAAAAACCGACCTGGTTTCAGCCCTCACGCTGAAACCAGGTCGGTTTTTGAAAATATTTTTTCGAAACTTCACGGGAGTTGAATTCCCGTGAAGTTTAGCAGATTTTTAAACTTCACTGGAGTTGAACTCCCGTGAAGTTTAATTTCTTAATAAACTTCACTGGAGTTGAACTCCCGTGAAGTCTGTTACACTAAAAAAATCTCACACCATTCTACTTCTTTTTTCTCCTCTTTTGCTCTACGCCATCTTCATCCTCTGCATTCAACCCTGGATTCACCACCTCCTCTCCCCTCTCCTCCTCTTTTTTCACTAGAGCTTTGGTCTTGTTCTTGCTTCTGTTACTATCTTCAACCGAAGGCGGAGGACTTTGATTCGTTCATTCTAAACTCATCAAAAAAAATATGATAAAAAGTGCTCAACTCTTCAATGGAACCGAGGTAGTGACGAACCCCACCCTTGAACTCCGACTCATCCTGAGGAAACATCAAATACTCTCCAGTCACATTCACTAACCTCCGAGTCTTAACATATGCAGACAGCTTCGGTGAGCTACATTCCTATAAAATATCTGCAACATCAAATTAAACCCTAAAAATCACCAATTCCACACCTCAAAAACATCAAATATTCTCCAGTCACATTCACCGACCTCCGTGGCGCTGGCGGTTCTAAAGGGAGTGGGGTCGGATTCGATGTTGTCGAAGTTGTCTCATCTCGAGGAGACGGCGGAGGACCCCGGCGACGTGAGGACGGACCAGACGACGACGAAGGAGAGGCCGAGGACGACAGCGATGGATATCTTGACGACGAAGCTGAAGGGGCACGCGATTCCCTGGATCCGTCGATTTCCCCAAACCCGAGCAGTTTCAGTACTGAATCGATCTCAATCGAGCTGTTCTTGAGAGCGATGAGGAGGAGATTAGGAAGGCAATTGAGGTCAGGAGAGGGGTCGCTGCTGAGATCTTGAAGGGGGCCTTGTGATTGGGGTGGCTGCCATAAAAGGGGTTTCGGAGTTCAATCACGTGTCGTTCAATGTGAGGGTAAAGAGTTGCATTCAAAACTCCGGTGCAAAAACTTATTAATAAAACTTCACGGGAGTTCAACTCTCGTGAAATTTCGGAAAAATATTTTTAAAAACCGATCTGGTTTCAGCGCCAGGGCTGAAACTAGGTCGGTTTTTAAAAATAAGTTCAAAATGGGTATTTTTTTGGGAATAAAAGTCCAAAGAGGACTGTTTTGAAAATTTGTCCGACATTCAGCACATGAGTAATTATCTCAGAATCATGTCTAGCATGGCAAAAGAGTAATTCATCAGGTGTTCTCAGAATCATGTCTAACATGGCAAAAGAGTAATTCATCAGGTGTTAACATTTCTTCAATGTTGACGGTGGTCCATTATCATTAAGCTTATTGAGGAGGACTTACTCTTTATCTCTTTATATGTGTTAAATGTGGTCAGTAGGCTTTAAACCAGTTATAGACAAAAAATGGAACTGTTTTCATCTTGTATTATGATATTAAAAGGAGCATGAATTCAACTTGTTTTCAAAGCATGTTTGTACTCCCTTATCTGCGGGTTGTTTTATACTTCATTGTGAATTTGTGTCTATTGTTGTTGTTTTACTACCGTTTGGGCTGCATGTTTTAATTTTGTGCATGTTTTAATTTTGAATCATCATCTTGAACGTGAAGTGTAAAAAAAAAAATTATTTAGAACTTAGAAGGAAAGGTATCATCGATAGTTTGGGAAAGCAAGACGTTATTCATGGAAAAAGAATCTAGTCTACCCTTTAGTGAAACTGATAGTATCATTGAGTGTTACTGAAGTTCTTATAGTTCTTATATATATATATATATATATATATATATATATATATATCCTATTTGTTGCAAAAGAAATAATGATCACATATCATCTGTCAAACTTTCATTGACTTTGATATCATGCTTTCAGGATCTCGGTGGCTTCTGCTCCTTCGCAAAGGAATGTATTAATGTGTTTGAAGTTCGTTAATCTAGTGCTTCTGGGGCCAATAAGTGTCTGCTCAGGTTAGAGAATAGGGGCGTCTCCTTTATCTTTTGTTCTTCAAATATCATGAAGTTAAAAACATTTTGGTGTGCTGTATTATGATTGCAAGCTAGAACCCTTGTAAAAATTCTATGCAGGTTGTTATCACTTTGTCAGTAACTGTTGTTGTCGGGTCTATGAAGTTATAGTTACGTATTTTGTAGCTGCTCTGAGGTGATACAGCTCTAATTTAGCTTTTGCCCTGGTAATATCGCACTATCACAGTAATAGCCTGGTAAATATTGTTTTCAGTCAGTTTTATGCATGTAACTCAAATGGCTATATATTTATCCTGCTGCGATGCTAGCTCTCTTGTTTCAGTTATGTGATGCTATGGTGTGTGAATTTTGTTTATATCATGGTTACATCAATAAAGTAATAAAATCATATCTATGATGTGTATTTCGCAGGATGCTTCTTGTGAATTATTGTTGTGCTAGATTGTTATCTTTATTGAGATGAGATGATTTTGTGAATGATGCCCTCCTTTTGGCTGCCTTAGATTATATAGATATGGCTCTACGGATCTGGTTCGCTACCTAGAAAAAGGTATATCCGTGTTGCGCGGTTTATTTTCTCAATACAATGGTTTTATTATTTAGTGGATGATTGTAACGACTTGAATGGAAGTAACAAAAAGTCAAAATCAAGAGGATATGCTAAATGTTAGATTTCAAATGAAATTACAAATGTACAGTAATACCTAGATTGCTTTTTTTTTTTTCCTTTTTAACGTAAATGTACACTAATACCTTGATCATAACCTAGATGGTTATGATCAAAGAAATGTAGTTAATCCGAATCCATTTCATCATACTTAGTCTAACTTGTTTACGTCCCTGCCTGTTAGCGGCTAATCCACCATGGAGGAAGTGGTCTTTTATGATACCAGATTTCTCTAAAGCTGACATTGAAGTTAGGAAAAAATAATAAAAAATAATCCAACCAATATGATCATTTGAGTATGGATCACTTTTTACACTTTCCAAACAAATAATTAAAGTTACATTTAAAAACCAAACAAGCAATTTATGATTCCAATGGAATAAAAAATAAACAAAGAAAAGTATAAAAGTGAAATTCAAACCAAACAAGCAATTTATGATTCCAATGGAATAAAAAATAAACAAAGAAAAGTATAAAAGTGAAATTGATGAGGTGGACAACAACTTTCTAAGTTGTGTCATAAATACACAACTTTACCAACAACAACCAAACAGCCCCTAAGGGGTTTCTTATACATTAAGGACCCATCGGTTGAAGTTACTTAAGGATATGGATTCGATGGAAGGGGGAGAGAGAGGAGTAAAGGGGGAGATCGAAACCGAGAGAGGAGAAGGGGAGAGAGGAGAGGTACCTGCGATGGATCGAGATCGAGATCGAGATCAAGATCGAGCTTTGTGATGGAGATGGAGATCGAGTTCCAGTCGGGACTTTGACAAATCGAGTTCCAGTCGGGAGCTTTGAGATGGAGATGGAGATCAAGTTCCAGTCGGGACTTTGAGACGGAGCGGCGTGAGAGAGGAGAAAAAGAGGAGTCGGGGTTTTGAGGGGTTGGATTTTGTGGGTGAGGATTTGTCAAATACCAAGTATTGTGCCCAAATTTGAAATCCATCTTTTTAGGCTTTTCAAATCCATTGTATAAAATGACTTGATTTAAAATCATGGTCCAAAATTGAGCCCAAACATAAAATTTGGATTTGAAACACCTAGAATTTCAAATCCAAGCCCAAATCAACATTCCCAAACACAGCCTAAGGGGTTTCTTATACATTAAGGACCCATCGGTTGAAGTTACTTATTGAAGGAGACATGGTATTTCGAAGTTGATGTCGGAGTGTAAAAAGTGTAATGATTATTCTTTGGTGTATTTGCTTTTCTACAATGAAGTTGTGGAATAAAATGAGTGATGATTAGCTCGTGTTTAGTGACATACACTGAGAAACACGTGTATTTAATAATCTTCCACATCTAAACTACTTATAAAAAAAGAATATCCATGTCACAACTTTTGATTTTCTTTTTTTTCCTATTAATTTTTTATAATTATCAATTATATCATTATTAATAATTAATCTTTAATCATCAAACTTCAATCTACAATAAGCAGTTGACGTTCATTCATTGTCTCTTCCGTTGCGCCCTCATTTTGCCATTTGCACTCTCATCTAAATTTCTAGTGTTTCAACAAATTAGATTTTTTTCCAAGAGTGCTCGATAGAACTAGTTGTGATCTATTTCTTGAAATTAATTTCGGTAGGAAGCAAGTTTTGCCGTGAGATATTTTTTCCAGTACATCTTTTATCAAAATGATAGAATGATTTATTTTTAAGAATTTATTAAAAAAGGAACCATCAATTATTTCTGTTAGTGAATCCATATCCTTAAATAAATTCATCATTAAAGAGCTCCATTGTTGTTGCAAAACTCGTATTAAATTCCCTTGCTCGAATCAAATTAGGGTTAGGGTTTGGATCTAGGAGTGGTGCTCTCTTCATCACATCAACTGAAGGGAGATTGTGATCTTGAATTTGAGTTATTAAGATTCCTGTTGGTATATCCTTCCTTTTCCCTTTGATTCTCTAATTTCCTGTTGAATCTCTGAAAATTTCTAATGAAGAATCATGTTTCCTTTTAGAAAAGGAATATGAGAGCGCCAGATCGAGCTCTTTGACGAATTCTAACTTGTTATTGGATTCAACGAGGATTACATGCTTTCCACAATGGATCGAATAAAATTAATACAGTTTTGATTTTGAGTGGATTGAGGGTTTACTATTTATCAAAATTATTCACAAAGAAACGATGATATTCTATGTTACACAGGTACGGGTGTAGATATGGTCCAGGTGCGGATACGAGACACGACAAATTTATAGAGGGTGGGAGACGAGGACATGACAAATTTATAAAAGGGAGGATACGGGAGCACAGTTATATACATAGAGTTATACACATAATGAAATTTATAGAAGGTGGGATATGAGGACATGACAAATTTATAAAAGGGAAAATTTGCAAAATAGACCGTTTTTACAAAATAATTAGCGAAATAGACCGTTTTTGAAAGTAATTAGCAAAATAGACCGTTTTTTGGGAAAAGATGTCGATTTTAAAAAATGGCTCAGAAAACATACGGGACTACTAGTCCCGTATGTTTAAAGTTAACTAATTTTGTGTTAACAAAACGTATGGGACTAGTAGTCCCGTACGTTTTGAGAGTAGCCCATATCCACTGCCCAGCAAATCCACGGGACTACTAGTCCCGTGGATTTTGCAGAGCAATTAAAGCCACTGCCCAGCAAATCCACGGGACTACTAGTCCCGTGGATTTGCTGGGCAGGATCAAACATACACCAAACATGCACGGGCCTCATTTATCGATTACAACCAAAATTTTCGCCAAAAAGATATCATTTACAATATCACAGCACAAATCTCATCATAAAGTACATCACCACACAAATCCGACGTATTCAACAACATCACAACACAAATCCAACGGAATACACATCACATCCAAAATCCGACAAAAATACACATCACAAATCCATACGATAATATATATCAGTCTAAGCTAAACAAATCCAAATGTCTCAAGTCGACCCATACGATAATATGCAGTTTAAGATAAACAAATCCAAGGTCAATAAATCCATACAACAATATATATCTTAGTGGAAAAACTAACAAATAAAAAATCCACCCTCCCCCGTTGTCTCTCTCTTCGCACTCGTTGAGATCGTCGGCGTCCTCCTTCGACTTGAGCTTGAATATGCTCGCTCTCCGGTTGTGTGTGGGGCTGTGATGGACCGGCTTGCTGTGACGGACCGGCTTCATCGTCGTGCGTGCAAGGTCTACCGCGTCTACGTCGGCGTACATATAGAGTATCGTCAAGATCCACCTGCTCACGACCTTCATGCCGATCCTCATGAGTTTGTTGAAAAGCTCTACGAACTCTCGCCACTATCCGATGCAATATCGATACATGTACTGAATCTCCTGTGGCGGAAGCTATGCCCTCATTTGCAATACCCTCGACATCATCCATAGCATCTATCTACAATTACATAAAAATATTGATATTAGAAACCATAAGCTAAGAAGAGATTGACATTCTATGATAATTTTGACAATTTAACTTAATTTTACTTACAAATTAATTGCTATCTACTTGCTCTTGATGGACAACGAGACCTATTATGTCCTAATTGATTACATTGTCCACATCGGGTTCGTGACGCTACTCCTTCACGACCTTGATCCATGGTAGATCTAATGCGTACGGATTTTGGTCGTCCAGCTTGTCTTTTGTGCTTAGGTGGTAATAAGTACGGTATATATAATTCCGGCCAATAGCGAGTATCATCGGGAGGATGAAAACTCTCCTTATAAGCCCGCCGATAATGATTTGTTGAATACCAAGCTGAGCAATATCGGTCATAAAGCAATCTAGCTCCACCATCTTGATTGGAACTAGCTGCTAAAACGTGTTGACATGGGATTTTCTGTAATTGTGGTATACTACAAGTACAACTGCACTCCTGATCGTCGAGATGAACGGTGTATGTACCATCACAATCTTTAACCTCCCACTCATTGTTGTTGAATTGTTCAATTCTACATGTTCTCACAGCCACAATCCTTTTCTGCAAAATAATCTCATTTTTTGGAGTGTACTTACTCGTCCAATTTGCACTATCAATGCGCCTCTTATTAAAATATGCGTTCAATCTATAAAACGTCCTTGCAACTAAGGCTTGAATTGGCATAGCACGGGCACCCTTAAGTACGCCGTTGAAACTTTCGGAACAATTAGTTGTCATCATACAATATCGCACTCCACCATCTTTACATAATGCCCATCGATCTTCGTATTGCGGCTTCAAGTTTTGTTCAATCCAATCGTGGGCTTCAAGTGATATGGATTTAATTTTCTCTCTACAATGCTCATATACCAGTGAGTCAGTTGCACAACCGGCTTGCCATAATAGATTTTGTAAATTGACCTCTCCATGTTTTTTCTTAAAATTAGCTCTTATATGCCGCAAGCAATATCGGTGATGATGTGGTGCACTCCACCCCTCGTGCAAGGCTCGTGGAATTCCTTTCATCCGGTCAGAAATAAAGGTAATAACTCGTGGACTTTGAACAGTCGGAATATATTTGTAAATACATTGAAAAAACCACTTCCAACTCGATGTATCCTCCACCTCCACAACTGCAAAAGCTACAGGAAATAGCCCACCGTTTGCATCTACACCGGTCGCAACCAAGATTACTCCTTTATACTTGCCATATAAATGTGTTCCATCGATACTTAAGAGCGGACGACAAAAAGAGAACCCTCTGATAGCGGGCCCAAATGCCCAAAAAACACATATGAACCTCTCCGTTTCTGGTGCGACCTCCTTAGACACTATGTCATATTCGGTACCCGGATTGTTCCGCACAATTGCTGAAAGGTAATGCGGAAGTAATTGGTAAGATTCCTCCCAATCTCCAAAGATTTTAGTCAACGCCTTCCTCCGTGCATCATATGCTTTAAACTTGGAAATTGTTATTCTTTTCATGTCATATACCCTTGTAATTATCTGTCCTGGAGTAAGATCAAGTTCCCGCCTAACTTCGGGCATAATTAGCTTTGCGATATAAGAGGAAGTCAAAGTCTTATGATCATAAGTTGCAGTCGAATTAGAACATGTATGGAGTCCGCAATAACTAGAGATTATAAACTGGCCAAGTGATTTTTTCCTAATAGCTGCATTAAGCTTCCATGGACACTTTGAATTTCTATCATCTGCAGCACTTGTATTCTCTCCTTGACCTCTCTCATTAAAGTAACACTTTACATGATAGCTAGTTGTGTTGCTTTTCACCGTCTTGAATTTGACCCGGTTTTTTATTGTCCATTCACGTATAGCGAAAATTAATGTTTCCTTGTTCTCGAAAAGATCTCCTTTCTTGAAAGTAAAGTCCTCGGATGGATCGAAATTAGGGCCAGGATCGACGAACTCAGCTTGTGAGGCATTTATCCACTCATCATTTTGAAACTCTTCTGGCAACGGCTCTTCAGACTCTACGTAGTCGTTATTTACGCAATATTCATCCATCCAACTTACGTCATCATTGGTCTCTCCAATTGCATACTGCATACTATCAAGACGTTCATCCTCTTCAGCATCTTCAGTATCATCATCGGCATCTACATCCTCATCATTATCCTCTGCTATTGTAGAACCCCCCGGTAAATCAACTGAAACATAACCCGGCGAGTTGTGGAACACGTCATTTGACATTGCACCCGACTCATTTTTAAAGCGCATGGCACTTTGAGATAACGAGATTTGATTATCAAGCATGCGGGAGAACTCTCCACGAGCATATGAAACTTCAGCGACCGAATACACTGGAATATTTTCAATAAACAACTCGATTGATACTTGTTTTTCCGCAAGCTGTATCATGTTATTCAATTCTTCATCATTGGTGATCTCTACAGCAATTGTTCTTTGATCATTTATTGGACAATTACAGAAGATCTTAATGGAATTTTCGACGTGATTAATTCCAGTGACTCTGTATATTTGCGCCACCAATCTATCAAAGTTGTAATTTCTGGACAACATGAACATTTTCCTAGAGCCTCCATCGTATATAGGCATATTATTCATTCCAACGCTCAGTTTTCCATTGAATAAGCAAATAATCGGTACTCCGTTCGCCATTTTAACTGAAGCATTAAAATTCATCATATAATAATTATATTTTTTTCCAGAGATTTTTCTAGACCATAATCATATATTTCTTCTAGATATACAACATTAACTAAACAATACATATAAATTTATGGAAAAATTAAAATTTGTACCTTGATTAAATCTCAGATCTCCTCGGCCTCGCAGAGAATCGACGGCGTCAGCGTCAGATTTGAGGGAGGAAGAGGTGAGTTGGGTTTGGGGGAGAGAGATAGGGATTGTTGGGTTTTGGGATAGATGGAGATCGGGTTTGTGAGAGAATGAGAGCTTTGATGCTTGGGAGAGAATGAGAGCTCGGGAAAGAGAGAGGGGGAGGGGGAGATCTAGAGTTGAGCTCAGGAGAGAGAGAGAGAGAGAGGGGGGGGGAAGTGGGTGCTCGGGGGAGAGAGAGGGAGATGGCGAGAGAAAAAAACGAAGGGGGAAATTGTGCCCTAGTTTCGGTGAATATATAGTCTGTAATTATACGGGACTAATAGTCCCGTATAAATTGCAGACCAGGTTCACCCTCGCCAAATCCACGGGACTAGTAGTCCCGTGGATTTGGTTTGCAGAGGCTTGGCTGGCTCTGAAAATCGTACGGGACTACTAGTCCCGTACGTTTTGATTTGTGTACACAATATATACGGGACTAGTAATCCCGTATATTTTGTGATTGCACTTAACGTTTGATTAGTTAACTTTAAACATACGGGACTAGTAGTCCCGTATGTTTTCTGAACCATTTTTCAAAATCGACCTCTTTTCCCAAAAAACGGTCTATTTTGCTAATTACTTTCAAAAACGGTCTATTTCGCTAATTATTTTGTAAAAACGGTCTATTTTGCAAATTTTCCCTTTATAAAATGGAGGATATGGGGGTACAGTATTATATATATGAAATTTTGCACATCAGGAGCCTCCTTAGGTTGCATCTAAGGATGCAACATCTCAGCCCTCCATTTGAATCTATCTCACCCCTAATCCTCCGACCCTTTTCATTTCTTCTTTGTTCTCAGTCCCTAAAATTTCTTCTTTGTTCTCAGATCTCCGCTCGCCCTCTCCTCTCCTCCGCCTACCCTCGCCCCGGCCGCCTAGCCGCTCCGCCCGCGCGCCTTGCGGTTGCAGCCTCGCCGCCTTCTACTCTCCTTCCCGCGTGGGCCCTCGCCGCTCGCCTGCTGACGGGACATAAATGATGTCCAAAAGTTGCAAGTGCACAACCAATCAAGTTATAGTATAAAAAGTTATCGATCCACAAGGAAGATATTTGTAAGAAATAATTAGAATCCGTTCTTATGTTGTGTGTGATAATTAGGAGTGATGAATGTGATTATGGAGAGATAGAGAGAGTGATTGTGTGTGAATAAGCACAAAATGAGATTGAGAATGGATAGATAAAGAGTGGATGTGATAAAAAGAATCAATGTAATCAAAAAGGAAAGAAAGAAAGAAAGATGAATGAAATAAAATCAAGACCAATAAAAAAAATTCAAGAATTAAAGGAAAAAAACAAGAAAGTAAAAGATGAATGATTCAATTAAAGATATGAGGAATCTAGAATTGAATCCTCTAGTTAATCTCACTTATAAAATGTGAATCATTCTCTTTTTATCATTTTCTACTTTAGATTTATTAAGTATAGATTATCAAACCACTCAAGGAAAGTATAACCTATCAAATTATCATCCAAATAAAATTATTACTCATGAAAAGAATAACAACTAAATAATAATTCTAGAATTACTTCTACCAATTAGTTCTTTAGTTGAATATCCTAAACATGAACATTTTAAGTATTAGAGAATGATTAACAAATTATAAAAAAAATAAAGCTAGTTTCATACAATTTCTAGAATCCTACGAGTATTAATTCCACATCAAAAGAAAAGGCAATTCCCTAGAGGGTTCTAGCCTCAAGGCGAATCAAAGAAAATAAAAAATAAAAATAAAAATAAAAACTAATCCCAAGAGGGTTCTAGCCTTAAGACGAATAGTGCAAGAAAATAAAAATCTAAACTACAAAATAAATTGCAAGAACTAAACTACAAGATAAATTACAAGAATTAAATCTGAGAAAATAAAATTAAATCTACTCTATAAGCATAAAAATAAATCTAAGGCAAGAGGGTTCTAGCATCTTGGCTATTTAACAAGAAAATAAAGCAAAAAGATAAAAATATTAACAAAGAGGAAATTTACATCCCGAGAGGGTTTTAGCCTCAAGGCGAAAGCAAACCTCCATCTTGATCTTGATCTTCATCTTCATCATCAAATAAAGAAAAAAAGAAAAATATGAAGATGTGAATTTTTTATTATTAATTACAACAAAAAGTTATAATTTTGGAAGGTATTCTCAATTAAAAATAACCCTCCTCTCCAAATAGAGTTATAAAATTTTTCACACCCTCAACCCCTTACTCTCTAGTCCTATTTATAGCCTACAACAATGAATAAGAGCCCTTAGATTAGACTTGGGCCCCAAGCCACTTAAAATCAGCCATTAATCTTGCTACAAGAAAACTGCATCGATCTAGTATCGATGCTAGCATCCATGCCCCCATCGATTCCCATTATATCCAAATTCTGACTTCACAAATGGCTTCGTTTCGTCGAGATAGCCGATTTTCATATATTATATGTTAAATTCTGCCTTTCAGATTGGGAGATATCGTCGTTTCTTTGCGGCCAACCATCTTGAATATGATTTCTTTTCATATTGGATTTTTTATTTTCTTCAACTTCTATAGGCTACGCAGTTTGATTCTGGACTTCAATAAAAGGTTACAAAATGAGAACGTTGGGGACTTTTGGGCTTTTATTCATTATATCTTCATTAACCTGAAATTTAAGATAAAAACAATTATTAGTGATATACATATTCATGTAAAATAGATAATGAGAGTATAAAATTATAATAAAATGTGATTATCACCTGCCCGCCCTCCC